TTTTTTTTTTTTTTTTAAGTCAAATATTCTGGCCCTTTTTAATCTAAAACGAACCTTGTCCTCAAGAAGTCTTGATATGTTTGACCAAAATAAACATTCTTATCTTAGGGGACAGTGCAGCAGTTCCTAGATGATTTTCTCTCTACAATATTGACAGCTAATGAGCTTTTACCCCCAGCCATCAAGTGGTTGTTTGATTTGCTGGATGATGCTGCAGCAAAACATGGAATTTCAGACCCTGAGGTAGTTCACGCATGGAAAAGTAACAGTCTTCCACTCAGGTTCTGGGTCAACATCATGAAGAACCCAGATTTCATTTTTGACATTGAGAAAACACCAACAGTGGATTCATCTCTCTCTGTGATTGCTCAGACTTTTATGGATGCTTGTTCCACAACACAGCATCGTCTGGGTAAGGTAAGCATTCTTAGTATAAATTTCTGTGATCATGAAAAAAATAATTTTTAGTGTATAATTTTAACTTTTATATTTGCTGGAGACATTATTAACACCTAATATTTTCTTTTTTTTCCTCTAAAATTAATCTTTCTCCTCTAAACTAGTTTAAAAAAATTAAGAAGTGGAAGATTCCAGTAACTGTAAAATTTGGCAATTTATTTAAGAATAAGTAAATTCCCAATTTAAGTTTCAAACAAAAAAATGTATGTGTACTATATTACTCATAAAAGTTAAAGGATAATGAGGTTTTGATGTTTTTCAAAATTAAAGTTCAATTTTGATTAAACTTGTATATTACAAATATCACAAGTAAACAACATCAAGCAAGTTGAAAAATTCATTTACAAATAACAAAAAAAAAGCAAAATTAACAAAAAAATAACTATTTGGCTGCACAAATATCAAAGAAAAATAACTTATTAAAATGAACAAAATGAGACCTTAGCAGCTGGTAGGTCCTCCTCTATTGCTTATGACTTCTCTGGACCTGCTTCTCATAATGCTGATGACATTTTGGATGGCTTGATCGGGCAAAACGGTCCACTCCTGGATGAGAGCAGCTCTGAACTCCTGGACAGTTGTAGGAGCAGTTTGTCTGTCTCTAACTGCTCTCCCTAGCAAGTCCCACATATAACTAGAAACTTGGCAGGGTGGTCCATGGAATACCTGGCAATGTTAGGACAGGCTGTATCCTGCTGATGCATGAACTTCACTCCAACAGCACCAACAAAAGAGCAAACAATGGGTAACAGGATCTCATCCATATAATGTCTTGTTGTCAGGGATCCTCCACACAGAGGTCTGTATGCCCTGCCTGTAGATGCTGTCCAAGAACACGATTGAGCCAACCTGAAAGGCACCATGGTGGACAATGTTACAGGTCAAGTATCTCTTTCTCTCCTTCACTCTCTAGACCCTCATATGTTGATTACTTGAAGATACACAGAATCTGCTCTCATCTGTGAACAGTACAGGGGTCCATTGCTGAAGGGTCCAGGTGGGATGTTTGTGGGCAAATGCCAGCTTGGCTGTTCGGTGCCATGGGGCTGTAACTGGTATTATGGACCTGAGTCTAACCTTATTGATCCCTGTTCCTGACCATTGAGCACAATACATGCACTCCAGTGGCTTGCCGAAACTCATTCCTAAAGTCCCTAGCACTGCTGGTGCATTTTCTAAGGGCTGCTGTTGGCAGATATTGGTCATCTACTGCAACTGTAGTCCTTCTGCAACCCTGGCCTCCTGGTGTATTCTCCTGTAGCCTGGTATCTGTGCCACAATCTTCTGATCACAGGTTGTGACACCAACATGACCTGTGCCACCTGAGTCTGGGTATAACCCTCTTGAAGCAGTGTGATGGTTCTGCAAACTTCAGTTTTAAGTAATTGGTTTTTAACAGTTTTTAACTTTGCAAAAGTCAATACTAGCCAAAAAAATCCATAAACCTAGCCTTATCTCAACAATAAACATATTTCCTAATCAATCAAAACTAGCCTTCTGCTTTGCAAAACTTAGGTCATTTATCATAAAGGCCTTATTACATAAGGAATCATTGGTGATAAAGTTACAAACCATAGATAGGATTAGTGTAATTCTCTACAATAGTTTGAAAAAATTCATAACCTAACAAATTGAAACAAACCTCATTATCCTTTAATTTTTTGTGGGTAGTTTATATTTTGGTTAGTTAATTTCACAAAATAATATTACCATAAAAGAAGTATTAATACTTCAGAATATATGCAGAATTACCAAGAACAACAACCTGTCTTCAGCCATTTGGTGTTTCTATTTGTATTGTATTAGTCATTTTCTTTAGTATTCTACTAGAATTATTTATAACATAGGGAGTTATTATTACATACTGTATATTGTTAGTGTCTTTAAATAGAGTGTACTTTTAAAATAATTGATGTAGTTTAATGTTGTCCATTTAAGGATTCCCCTTCAAACAAATTACTCTTTGCTCGTGACATTCCAATTTATCGACGAATGGTGGGAAAATATTATCAAGACATCACCCTACTCCCCACAGTATCTGGTCCAGAGATGAAAACAGCCATGCAAAACATCTCAAAGGTTAGCTCATACATTTCTTCTTATGTTGTATAGTCTACAGTTTGATTTCTAATAACCATGAAAAATAAACATATGGGAAAAAATGTTGCTAAGATAAGTCATTGCCATTGTCATATGAATTTTCCTTTTATTATTTCTTGAGTTGCTGTTTCTTAAAGATTGAGAGAGAACAAGATATTTCATACCCAATGTTTATTGCAACTGTAATAATGGTCTGGAAATATTTTCATTATATTTTAGGCACACCAAGGAGAAGTAGAGACACTAAGTTCCCTTAAAGAACTATATGGATATGTTGTCAAATATAGTGAACAGGTGAGAAGATGTCTGTTTTCATGATAGCAATTAAAACAGTTTGTGCACAGTATGTATATTCTTTAAAATTGGGATATAATTATATGGTACAAATGTTAAATTTAGCATCATTATTACCAACATAATAGAATTCATGCTATAAGGCAGTACACTTACAACATGAATGAACACATAAATAAATTTGATTTAAATAGTCAGTTAATTTTGTTTATTTCATAATTTGAATTTTTTATATACGGATAGAAACTGCCTGTAGCATTTCTAAATCAGCTGCTACACCTTGAATACAGTATGCCTTTTCTACATCAGGTCAATTTCTCAACTTTATCTAAAACGTCAGTTACTTTTAAGCTTAATGAGGTAAAATGTAGCTGAAAATTGAGTATTTCATGGAATTGTGACTGCAATGTCAATTTTTTTCACATTTTTCTCTAGTGTTTGAATATTTTTTTGTACTTAATTGTACTGCAGAAACCTGCTAAGACTAGTCCCTCACTTTTAACTTTAGGTAAGCCTGACACTAGGATGTTACTTGTATCAGCTTTACAAACCCACTTATTCAAGAGAGGAGGGGGGGGGGTAATCAACACCTTTTTCCATACATAGTAGTAATTTTAAAACCCCAAATAGACATGTTGCCTATGGTGTGACTGAATAAAACATTTTAATTATAATAATGACTATTATTTTTTGCTAAACATAAAATGAAACTTAATTAAATAACTATTTTGAAGACTGTCATATGTGTTACTGTATCAAATAGTTGAAGCTGAGTAATTTTGATTTTACTATAATATCTCATAAACTTTGAAAATATTTGCATTTTGGTTGAAGAAGTTAGTATTCACCTTCTCAATGGTAAATAAGTATAATATGATTTTAAAAATCAAACAAAGAAGTTACTTGTGGAAGTTTAGTTTTTATACACTAAGTGAAGGTTTATTTCTTTCAAACTTCCCCAGGTTTTGATTTTTCTAATAACTTCCCTTAACTCTTGTTAAAATTGCATAAACTTGGATTCTAGGTTGTGGCCTTTTACATCTGCATCATGGTATGCAAAAGACTTATCCTTTAAACAAACACCTAGAATTTCTTCTTGAGAAAACTTTCATTCATCAAACATGAACATACTTGATATCGGACAAATAACATGTTAGGTGTATAATTGATACTTTTGTCTATCTTGTACATAAATTCACATTGCATTTGAAGACAGAAGTGTCGAAATCCATTTTTTTAAGTATATCAAATTACTCGGTAAATTGCCTGAATGTTTATATGAAAAGCACAAAGTTATCATTAAAACTATGATCGTTTATTATTTATTTAGATGGTGGTGGTCAAAGATGTCCAATACAATCAAATTTAAATGTATTTTTGTAGTTGTTAAAAGATAATATTTTTTTTATATTTCTGTTATAATTTGCAGATTTATGAGGCATTGAGAACAGAACCCAGTTGTCAGAAGCACCATCTTGCTCACAAGCTAGAGGTAGTAGCTTGTACACTTGGTGGTTTTGAAACATCAGTCTGCTAAGGAATGAAGGACTAAGATATTTCCAACTTTAAGCACTTTGCACTACAGGTTTATGCCTATTTCTACTACCTTAAGGAAGACTTGTTAGCATGCTTTAAAAGTGATGTTTTACCTCTTGGTTAAACATCTTAAGTCAGGAAAGTACTGACTTTTTCAAGCCATTTATTAACATGTCCATGTTTAAAAAAAATAGTTGATATTTTGGTCAGCTATTGCTTTTTTTTTGTATTATCATCACATCAGGAGCATTAGCTTAGAAGAATAATCATTTTATAGGACTCGATTATGTTGGCTGACTGTACAAAATTGCACAGTTAACTAGTTGCTTTGAAAATATAATACACTGTATTAAATAAAATATCCTGGCTTGGTACTGTTGCACTCTAGTTAGAATAAACACAATTTTCAGGCACTTAGTAATTGATGTCTAAGCTTACCAGAAAATGTATTTCATTGAAGTTGCCATTAGTACTGTGAAGACAAAATAGCAGGAAGTTGGGTTTGTGTCTGAATACAGTTTGTTCTGACAGATACTTAAATACTTTTTTTTTATCTGTCTTAACATGGAGAATTGAAAATCTAAGTACTTATGCTCTTATTCAAACCCAGAAGAAAGAAGAAGAAAAAACAGGTATATGTTTTGTTTTGGTCTAACCTGTTTCAAGAGGTCTCATTTGCTGCATTGTGGAACTCTACAAATACTTTTTGTTACTAGAAGTTTACCAAAGCTGTGTATAATGTGTTTGTCTAACAATGACTTGTAGCACATCCACTAATGAACTATGCACAGCCAGCCACTCACCAGAGGGACAACTGACTGCATAGTCAAGGCCAGACTGTGAATGCCTTAAATTTTATCTTTAGCACTTTGTTTTCTTCACTATTCCTCTGTTAGCCATGATCCTGCTTGCCACAGTGCACTCTGCTTGTTCCTACCCTCTGTTGTCAGCTCTATAATTTCCTTCCTGCATATTGCTGGCAGCAGTGAAGGTGATTGCCAAATTCAAACAGGGTATGATTCTTAACTTCTTTTTACAATGGCTATTGTTTAACAGATATTTGCCAAGTGATTTTATTGGTAAAACCTTCTACGGTTCTGTAGTTTATTACTTCATGTGTGTGTGTGTGTGTTTATATATATACAGAGAGAGACATATGTACATACACACACACACACATGTATATATGAAGTGTCTTGGTTATAGTTTGAAACCTTTGTAAACTTCAACAAAAAATGGTCCCTTTAAAATACGTCTTATAGTATAAACTAAGTATAAATTGTCTGTAATATTCTGATACTTTGAAAAGATTCTCAGTGTAGTAGTTTATGAATTAAATTTCTAAATGGGAAATAATAAATACAATGTTTGAAAAAAAAAATTCAGTTTGTCTAGTTGGATATCCACTGCTACAACTACATGGATATTTCTAAACACATTGTTTAGTTGTGTGGATCACGCATACTACCAACTGCCTGTGCTCTTTAAGGAGTTTTTTAAGTATCGACATTCATATCTATGGTTACATATTTTTTATTTTAAGCATGGTCAACCCTTGTGAGATATTACAGCCAAACAACATTAATTACAGGGTACCCAACTGATGATTCATTGTCCTTTATTATGAATTGAATATAGTGATATTTAGTAGTTTTAGGCCTCACAGGTGTTTTGATTCAGTTAACTTATTCTGGATAAGAACCTTTTAACAATAATAATAATTAGAGTTGTACTCTTCCAATTAAACATTATGCCCACAGTAAGACAAATTCAAAATACACAAGCAAATTTTATTCATATTTAAAAGATTTAAATTCAACAATAATGGATGCCAAGACATGTTTCTGCCTCTCATTAAGATTTACCGTTTTTCATCATTTTATTAAGTTCCTGAAGAAGTGGTACAGAGTGAAGTTATATCAAAAATACTCAACTTGAAAATGAAATGTCTTCCTATTCCAGGAGAGTTTTTATAGTGAAAGCTCGTAGTTAAAAACTGAAACTAATTTTTCACAAAACAAACTTTTAATTAACCAATAAATAGTAGAACACTACAAATTTCAATTACAAACAAAAATACACTGTTTCTGGCACAGGTTAACTTCTAACATTACAAACACACAGATTTAGCACAAATTTTGTTGATGTTTTACTACTTATGTCACTGATAGTCAACAATTTCTTAATATTTTGGTAAATATTAAAAACACTGGCCCTTCTGTGGTAATAATTATTTTAAACCTCACTGAAGCCACGAAACAAAAATCAAGTATTTGGTACCCTTTTCTTACAATTAGTTATTTAATGAGTTTTATGCAATGTTTTATTATAGTGCTATTATTCTAATGTTCTCATCACACGTTAAAGGTTAAAAAAGTTACTTTCAAATTACTACTTATATAAACTTGTCAATATCTACGATTGTTATGGAATTCAGTTAAATGTAGAAAAATGTAGTGCTTTAAAATGTTAAATTTACATATGACCAGAAATAGTTTTTACCTCACACTTGCCAGTATAGAGTAGTTTTGTATTACATAAATACACTACAGTTTACAATATCACAGTCTAGGCAGCAGCAGGTTTTCCACATTTTGAAATCTAGTCTGTACAACTTTCATGTCCAGGCTAAGCTCCCATAACCATAAGTTGTGAAATCTACCTCATACAAGCACCAACTCTGACTTAAGAAGCTAAAATATCATCACAGAGACAACAATGTAAAGAAATAAACACACACAAATGGTTATGCAAAGTTAAAAATACACCACATTAATTCAACCAACAAAAATCACTTATGTTGGCAAATATACACAAGTTTTTGAACCCTGTTGTTTATTTGTCTTATACAGGCACTGACAGCTTCTTGAAAGTTTTGTTTTTTGTCTATACACATTATACAATGAAAGTTTACACACTGACCACCTGATCTTCTTCCTCTTAACTCTTTGGCTTGAACTTCTGGGAAGTAACTGGAATGACAACTTATTTTATAAAAAGTTTAAGAAAATTTTCGACCATTTGTAAAACCATGTTGCATAGTTGACAACATTATCAAACTCTTTTCAGGATGGAGACTCGTAACCTTTTAGTGAACACTATCGAACATGAAGTTTGATTTTTCTTTTATATCCAATTATTCTGAATGAAATGTATATTTATCCTTTATGTCTGAAATACTTTTTTTTTTTCTAAGAGAGCCAAATCCATATTTTCCATTATAAACTTCATTCCATAAATTTCTCCACTGGTTGGTAATTTACATTTTTGGCACAGTATAATCGAAAAAAAGAAATTCAGCAAACAGAAGTTTCTTCCCCTTGTAGAGTACAAGCAACTGTCTCTAATCTGTGAGCCAAGTGATTTTGTTGACAGTTGGAGTCATCATTAAGATCTTGAAGAAACTATGAAAAAAAAATTTTCTTTACAAATAATATACAATACATACTTGTACCACTTATTGCTAAGTTTTATAAACCTTTTGAAGAAAAAAAAAGGCCTTTAGAATGTTTTCTCACTCTTTACAACATTTATTTGAAAAAAGATAAATTAAACATTCCCATCATTTTTAGGGAAAAAATATGTATAATAATTGTTTTTATAAACAAATCATCCATTTAACCAACTAAACTTTGTTAAATGAAGCTGGTCATCTTACCTCATCCATGTATTTAGCAGCATAAACATAAAGTGCTTTAAGGGCAGCTAATGTGTCAAATTCTCCAATGTGAGACTAAAAATGAAAAGGATCATTAATATGTTATCAAAATACTAGATTAATCTTTGAAATATTTAACAGCGCTACTGCTTTCAGAACTTTAATAAAACTCTGGTAGTCTCTAAATGTATGGAAATTTGCTACCATATTTGAGATTTCTTCATAATAATATACACCTGGAAAAAAGTTAAGCACCCCCGTGTTTTTTTCAAGTGATTCAGATTCC